TGAATACTAACATATAGAGTATAAAAAAATAATTATCATTTCAATATAGGCAATGCAATCTGAAATAGATTTATTGAGACAACGGATTATTGAGCTTGAAGCTGAAAATGTCGAAATCCCCTATCTTAGAAACAAGCTCTTAGTGACTGATGCTGAAATAGCTGAACTTAAGCACAGGAATGTGAAGACTCTAAGATCGAATGAGGAATATAATGAGAGGCGTGATGCTGAAAATGCCAAGTTTAAAGCTGGGAAAGCTGAGTTTCTAAAGTCTACCAAAAAATATTATACAGATTTTGAGGATTATATAGTAAAATTAAAACATCTTAGTTCACAATACCCAGACCATCTTGAGAGTATTGAAGCTTTAATTCTTGAGATCAAGGCCCAGAATACAAAGAATAAATTAATTATAGAAGAATATGAAAAGGAACTGGAATCCAAGAAAAATCGCAAATTTCAGACTAGATGCATCCAGATAGCTAAGGAAATTCTTCATGAGGAGCCAATAATTGAGTATCGCCCTCCTTTCTTGAATGGATTAGAGCTTGATGCTTTCTTTCAAAAACATCAAATTGCATTGGAAGTGCAAGGGGCTCAGCATCGGTTTCATAACACCAGCTGGTATAAAGATGTCAAAAAACTTGAGGACATTGTTAATCGTGATCGGCAAAAAAGATGCATATGTCAAGATAATGGAATTTATCTTATTGAAGTATGGTATGACGAAAAACCGGAAATTGTTATTCCCAAAAGAATACAAAAAATTAAGGAGTTCGTTTGTATAAAAGTTTCGATCTCTTGTAATCAATAAGCTTATAATACACATATCCATTGCTCTCTGTGAAATCGATCACCTGAAAGACAGGAAGTCATAGATGTATGGGCTTAGCCTTTCATTTTATAATTTATTCTTTAATGTACTACTATTACCAATAAAAATAAATTTTGCTCGTAGTTCAATTTTTTTTTTCAAAGTTATTACAAACTGATAGATAAATACAAAAATAACGAGAGATCTTGCAAAAATAAGTATAATAAGAGTTTTCTACTTAAATGATGAAATTTGCGGATAAAATAAAATAAGAATCCAATATACTGAAAAGAGTTAGTGGTTATGGCATCGTATTATTGCACTTTACTGTTTAAGTTCAACTAAACAGAAACGTGTTTAATACCTGATATTCATTATGTGTTCAAGCTTGCGCCTTTTCGGCAATGGCTCCGTTACTTCTATTTCATTGTTTAACTCCTGATTTGCAAATTTCATATTTATTTGTATTAATGCCACAGCTTTACCTCTAGGAAGAGTAAATGTCCCGATCTTTTCATCTTCAAAATAAAAAAACTGCCAATCATCTCTTAAATCTGTTAGTACGGCTAAAATAGCATGTATAGATTTTAAATCTCCATAAGTCAATTCTGCCAAAGCTTGATACAAATGTCCATCATTAATGAATTTCTTTAGTTCAAAAAGGATCCGAATGTGATGTTGTGGGATCCTGGAAGAAATAGAAAACCTGTCTACTACAGTTGCATCTGTAGTACCAACGAGTCTTATTGGCAGGATGTCAGTACTCATACTAAGAAAATTAATATGTCTAGTTGTATCATATATCTCAAGTTTCCGATATTTGGAAATTTGGAGTATCTTTCTAAGATGAGGTAAATACCTATCTTTTTGTTCTCTTTCTGGTCTATCATCCCATTGGAATGCATTACTCTTTGTTTCATGTTCTAGATTGAAGTCAATTGCCTCGAACCCGAGACCAGTAGACATTTGAATCTTCTCCCATTCGTTGCATTTGATATTTGATATGGCTATCTCTGATTTTTGTAGTTCTTTTACCAAACCCTCAATGTTAGTTAGTTTTTGAATAACTGTTCGATTATTTTCATTATTTTTCTTGATAACTAAGAGTTATTAAGGGTTAGAATTGGAGAAGGTTAAAGACCAACCATTTTGTTGATTTTAAATCTTAAATTAATAATACAATTCATAAATTAAAATACCTTTTCTCAATGATTTCTTTTCTCTCTTTGGCCTTTCTTTCTCAATAACCTCAGTAACAAATTCACCAGTTGCTCTGGAAGAATTTAGATATCGTGTGTTCATGGTACTTGTGTTACCATTTCCCGTAAAACATCACTTATATTATCAACTGTTTTAACTGAATTTGTTATATCAGTTAAAGTATGCGATTCGCCGTTAACCTTTAAAAATTAAGAAACTATGAGAAATACTTCTCAGAAAGTAGAATGATGTTTAGATTAAGGTTGCCTGAAAAGTTTCACTTTTCGGACTTGCAGGCAACCTTAGTTTAGATGCGGGAAAAGGAAGGTACATAACCGATCCCTTCTCCGGAATTAGTAGACCTTTACCAACTGTGATTAACAGAATGAACCTGAAAAACATGCAAGCAATAACCGAGAGCCAAGCCCCAAGCGAGAGCGCTGTGCTTAACAGGACAAATCTGACAAACGTGCACCAAATACAGGAGACAAACCACCTACCCTCTTCTTATCATTTTTCCTATTCAGCAAACGCCTTACAGCATTATGTACTTCTTCTGAGGCACTTATATCGTCTCTAATTATATAGAAAACATTATAAAATACCCCATTATTTTCCGTTTGGCCGAATTTGTCAAGCACCCAGGAAGTAAAATGTTCGAAAGACCACTCTTCATAGGGAACTAGCTCGAAGTATTGAATTTTCCCCTTCTTTAAAAGTCGGTTAGCAGACATGAAGACAATTTGATTGTAAAAGATAATTCCAGAATGTGTTTAATACGCGTACCATCACGAAAAATCACGTGATATTTCATCACACTTCTTGGGATCTAGAATTTTCCCGGTAGTGAAAATCTATTCGTCACGCCTTAAATTTCGGCCACACTTAATCATCGGTGTCATGTGAACGAAACTTCCGAAACTGTGGCTACTCCTCTATCTCAGATGATAATTCTAGCGACACATCAGACTTTACAGTTTATTTTGATGAGGAGGTTTTTAAGGAAGAAGGAACTAATGAAGCGATTGAAAAGGTCTTTAAAAAATCTGAAGTAATTGCTAAGGCACCGGAGGCACAAGCGAAACCCTTAATTTCAACTGAGGACTATGATGATGTATATTTTGATGATAATCCCGTACCTCAGTCAGAGAAAGAAACTAAGGTAGACGATGATGACGATTCTGATAAAATGCTGATGGAAGCTTTTGAGGATGAGGCAAATGATGCTAATACGCACGATGGTGACTCCAATTCATGTAATGACGACTCCGATTCCGATGATTCTGAAGAAGACGATTCAGATGATATTACGTTTTGCAAAATCGATCTATAATGAACTTCTAACCCATGATGTGGCACAGTAAAATTTCCCAACTGTCAAGGCTATTTCGGGTTCCTGTGATTCAAATACTTCATACTTGGGCTTGTTTTGAAGCTCTCGATATTCTGCATCTGGTCGAACTAAGTTGGCGTTTCTATGACTTCTGGATCAGGTTTCGTAGACGAATGAAGTTTCAATACTCATATAGTACTA